CTGTATGGGAAACTTTTCAACATTTGAAACATTAGTGCAGTGGTTTATGTTAAAATAAACCTTTGGGTTAAGTTGTCGCAAGCAGGTTTTTCTTGTGTTTCTTGTAAATTTGGTCTTAGATTTATATTAGAAGTGGCATTAAAAAGTCTTGAATTGAACTCGCCTTATGCTTTAGGATCCCTGGATAATCTATAAGGTTTAGTAGGATTTCATAATTAAGGATAGAAATAAGTACTTTACGTATTGAGTATTTCCTAAAGTGCATTTGGTCTTCATCAGGAGGTGCTTCCAGAACAGGAAGTGACCAAGGTTTAATTAGTTTTAGCATAGCTAGTTTAATTTTTAGTTTTTGAAAATGCTTAGTTTAATATTAGCTTTAAATAGTTTCCGTTAAAGTTTAAGTCTTGCAAGTAATATGAAGTATATTCCAGGGTTAAGAATTCAAAAGAAATTGAATAAATAATAGAAACAAATCTTTAAAACCCAAAATACATTTTAGATTAATACCTAAGATGCTTCTATACAGACTTCTGAGCGTGTGGCGTTAAACATGCTGGTTGTTGCTCCGCCTGACAGGAGTTCTTCTCCCTGGCCTGGTCCACCGTGTTGATGTCCAGAGGAGGCAGCGCTCCATCTCAGGCCTGCAGCATTCTTGCCGCCGGGGGGAAGAGAGGACTCGTCAAACTGATCCACCCCAGGAACAACGTGGCGTACGGCGAGTTCAGAGCCAGCCGGAAGTCTCTGTCCGTTCTCCGCTTTAACCACCGACAGGGAAACTTCCTCTTCAGTGAGTTTCCTCTGATATGTTATCTCTAACTAAACAGGCCCTCTTTGCTTTTGCTCTATTTTTAATTTATTTTAGATTAAATGTGAAGGTTATAACAACATGTTGAAATGGAAATGATTATCCAAGCTGCCTATGTTCAACATTCAGCATGGATTAAACATCAACCTTGTCTTCATCTTAGATAAACGGCACCATAAATCATTGCTTCCCCTGTTCTTTTATTGAATTTAAGCTTAATCTCTCAATATTCTTCACAATGACTCTTATAGTTTATAAATATGAAGATTATTTTGAGGTTTTCCTCCCAGTTTATCAGATATTTAGCATTCAGATCACAGTTTGTATGCTTTCCTACATTTGGAAAGCTGTCTAACTTTTAGTATCCTTTGTTAACGCATCCCTTTTTTTATGTCCCCCAGCCTGTTTTTTTTTTTTTTTT